TATCCGGGAAAACGTTCTGCAGATCGAAGTTAAACGTAGACGCATACGTGCCGTTGTGCATCGGAAATGTTTTACATATAAATATCATTTGAAAGATTCCTTTTTCAGTTCGTAGAACGTTTGTGCAACATTTTTTCTGAACACAATTGGGTATGAAAAATCTTGCAAGTATGAATTCTGTTCTTAATAGGCGTAGTATTTGTTTGTAGTACATCAATTGTAAATTTCAGTAATACTATCTCTCGCGCGTTCAAGAAAGAAGCATCGCGTGACTGGAATATTGATAAGAGGGGTATGCTTCAAAAATTAAAGAGCAGATATCTGGAAAAGATGGTCACGGAAGACATACTATTACATAATCCTACGATATCTCACTATCGACGGATCCATACTCCAAATGTTAAATACTTGCCTTCGGACCTTTCAGCCAGACGCTTGTTTGATGCAGACCGATGAAAATACGAAGTGTTCATACCAATATTACTGCGGGTATGTTTTCTTGTATAAATCTGTGGACATTTAAAAAATTATATTTTTTACTACAGCATACTTCGAGCTATGAACATCAAATTCACCAAGCTTGGACTAGAAGAATGCGAAGTATGTGAAATTCACCATCAGCATGTAGCTGAGGCTGGCCATAATCATGATTCACCAACAAACGAACCAGCAATTGATCTTTGTGAAGCCTGCAAAATGTGGCACGATCATAATCTACGGGCACGCACATCTCGCGAAGAATATCAAAAGGATAAAACCAATAAGAAAGCAATAATTATGTCCGTTGATCTGCAAAAGGTATTTTTTTGCATTCAATAACAACACATGAATATTTATTGAGTATTGATGTTTATTACAGGTGGTTCAAATACCAAGGATGGACTCTTATAAAACCGTCATATTCTCGAAGCGAATAAGCATTTTGCACCAAACGTTTGCTCCAGTTGGAGGAGCAAAGCATGGTTTAGTTTATGGTTTCGTTTGGGATGAATCCATTAGCGGAAGAAAGGCATCAGACATCACGAGCTGCTTTCTAAAATATCTGCAAATTGAGCGGAGCGCTAAGCATATTGTGCTTTGGCTAGATAATTGTAGTAGTCAGAATAAGAACTGGAATCTGTTCTTATTTATGATCCTTCTTGTAAATTCAACGTTGCTTGAGACTAACGTTATTGAATTTAAGTATTTTGAACCGGGACACACCTTTATGTCCGCTGATTCGTTCCATCATGCTGTTGAAAAACGAATGAAATCAGCTAATAAAGGGGAAGTTCATACATTTGAAGATTTTTATACTTGTGTCAACACTGCTCAAGAAAATTCCGTCGCAGGGAAAATGCAGGCATTTGATTTTTTTACCTGTGATATGACATGCAAACCGGCAACCAAGCTGAGACCTCGACCGAAACTTAATGAGGTGAAGCTTATCATATTTTCAAGAGGATCGTATAATTTTACGTACGCCAATGAATTTTCTGGAGCAACAAAATCGTGCAACTTCTTCACCAGAGAACAAATCAGGAAAGTTTAATCAGCTGATTTCGACATTTCATCTAAGATGCATTTCCGGATGTTACCAAAAGGAGTCGAACTTACACGTAAGCAAGGAATAATACAAAAAATTCTACCGTTGTTGCCTCCCGACAAAAAAATGTACTGGTATAACCTTCCAACCCACGATGACATATCGGATGAAGAATCATAATACCAATGAAGGAGCATAATAATAATGTGTGATTATATTGTAACATTTACCATTTTCATTTCCCTTGCCCTTTCCATTTATTATACATCAATAAAGCTGTTATAAATAAATAAAAACATTCTTTCCATAATATATTTAATTAAAGAGTCTTGCGATAAGCTGTAAAACCGAAAAAAAATCTGAATCTTTAACATTTATTTACAAAAAAATAAGTTTTGAATCCTTCAACTTGATGCCTGTGACCACTTGACTATAAAACCATCTTACTTGATGTTAAAAAAAATTCCCTATTAAAAACACACTGGTTGCTGCGCTCGGTTTCAGACTGATCATGCACATTAGACAATTTCTCATTTATATTGCACATTAGCCATCTAGTATTTCAAGTCGTTTATCCGCACGAATCAATTTTTTCAAAATTGTATACTGTGGGGACCTTGACAAAAGTGCCACATATCAACTAACACCATTTTCTCGATTTTGACAAAAATGGCTTATTAGCCAATTTCTCATTTATGGGCAGTTTATGAGTCGCTAGTGTCGGTGATGACGATGATAGAGCAAATAGGTTATAGCCAACTCTAAGTAGCCCGTGATTATCGCTACATGGGGATGCTAATCGGCTGGGTGCTGGTTGCGACTTGGCCGTCCTGAATGAACTTTTTCCACCTCTTCAAGGCGGTTCGTTTAAAAGGACGATAATAAATGGAAGCATGGAAGCAGACATGTTTCGCACTGCAGTATCCTCTGTGAACAATTAACACAAAACAGATTGTGTGCAGTTGCCGACAGATGTCACCGCAAACAACAGTAGTGACTATTTTGACAAAATGATTAATTCCCTCACTAATACACTCCACATTTGTCTATCTCAATTTTCTTGCATTGGACCGTACATCGGTATATATCATCCTCCGTTCATGCAGTCTCCACTCCTGCGGTGATGAATCCCTCATTATTGCATTATAAGTACTCAGTTTTACAAAAAGTGTATACGTTAAATAATAATATCTTATATAAACTTATTCTGTTGGGTATTTGACCGGTTTTATAAAACCGAAGACTACCACCTTTGATCCCAAAATAGTGCCGGACATCGGTTTCTGGTAGAGGCAAAAATGCCTAAAATGTAGGCATACAGCCCAGACAACCAGAAGTCGTATAACAATGTACAGACAGTATCGTTAAATGCTACAGTTTAAGTCAAAATCGTATATAAGAATGGCATACCTCGCATTATTTTTAAGTTAAATCGTATAGAATGCATATTTCCGACTTATATGCGACGAATCATTTTTTCGTCGTACTGTATCACAAATTAAATCGGATTAAATCGTAAGACTTTTCAAAATGAATATGTTATTACAGATTTAATCGTATATGATGTTCGATCAACTCGTTTAAAATTTAATTAAAATATGCACGTATATGGCCTCCACTTTTGTACGTATAAGCCATTTCCTTGCATTCTATACGAATTGTTTGTCTGTATATACGTTTGTATATCTCGAAAACAACTTTGAATATACGTGCATTCTGGTTGTCTGGGAGGAAACTCAATCACCGCGTAGTGAGAAAATTCTTAAACTTTCTATTTATCAACTTAGGGGGTGGACTATTTAGGCAATTTTCATAAATATGGGAACGGAATTTTTTCGCGTGATAAGCCATTTGTGACCTTTTTCTGGTCGTAAGTATTTGTTTATTTTATCTTTAGCAGGAAATTTCCAACATTAGGTTCTATTTTGATTATTTCTTCCCAATTAATAAGGGAATAAGGCATTCGTTCTCAACTAAGTGTTATCTGAGCACATCCGCAGTTGTTAGTTGAAATTTAAGTCATGATTTTGTATTGCTTCCTTGGGAGATCGAACAAAATTTTGTAAGAGTTTCTCAATTGATGATGGTTATTGGAAGTATTATTAAAATGTTATTAAACTTATTTATCACAATTTCCTTCGCGCATTGAAATTGTGACAAACGTCCATGGAGTGTCATTGTCATACCATCGTCGCACAACAAGGCCCGAACTGACAATAAACTTTTCCTGAAACCAGTTGGGAAGTATGCCAAAATAAGGAATGTCTCCCACAACCCAGTTCAATGGCCTGGCTGAAGTTTTGGGAAGGTTACCTGTCGCATCGTATTTTTCCACTACTCAGAAAACCATCCCCCATCACCATTGAAGATAGTGCTTCTACGGCCATGTACCTCTATAGGTATTCAAATCTCAACCACCTTCCCCGGTGTGCCCTTTGCTCATACAATCATGTGGTACACCCTCGGCATTTACATAAGGTACGGAGACAAGCGAGGACACAATAACAGAAAGGGGCGTCGTCACGGAATTGTTGGTACAATTCGCGAGAAACATGATAAAATTACATTTCACGCTCCAACAACAGTGAACGTACCTCCAGTGCCTTGCTGTATACTTATATGTGTCTTTTCCGGTCATGTATCAGATGGAGAACGAGTTTTTTTTTTTATATCTCTGATGGGAAAAGCTGGGGGAAAATCCCTTGGCTCAATCCTGCAACTCCTGTTGTTGTAGACTGATGTCGTATTGTGTTGTTAGAATTGAATGGAAAGGAAAATTGGAGAGTAGAAGGGCCGGGACGCTTTGACTGGAAAAGCCTCGGCAGTCAGCCGACATGGAAGCTATTAGGCGTGAAATGCGATGCCAACCAGAGAGTTATAACAGTACCTTAGAATGACGAATCACACTCGTGTGTGACTTGTCGCCATCAATATCAGATTAGGTGCCAGAGGGGGGTCATGTATCTAATTTTGGCTTGACATTCAAGATCAATTGAAACCAAATAAAATGTACAGTAATGATAAGAATCCTCAAATAATATTGGGACTGTCATTTCCATCGTCACAAAGCTCTCCAGCCACGATATATAAACTGTTCTGCGCAATCAAGAAAGCACTGCTTTCAACTAATTGAAATACCGCAGTCACATAAGCACAAACAACCTCGAGCATAACAAGCAAATATACAACGTACATACCGACACAATCCACCAACCACGCCATTTTGCACTGCATCGTCCTTCCCATCTCGCAGGGAGATAATTTAATTTGTCAAAAACAACGTTATCAGCAGTGGAATTTACCCGACAAAGTCAGCTCCTCAGCCAGTTCGTGGCTGCTAGGATACCACCCTGGAAAATGCTTCCACCACACTGCCGCACGCAGTTTGACATCTGCCGGGCCATGCTCTAATTTCATTAAATAATTCTTGACTTATCTCGTCGCTTATTCGCTATTTCTCTTTTTCCTCTTGCAGTATGTAATCAATTTTCCCGCGGCGTATTCGCCATGCTCGGTGCCGTCTCGCCGGATTCCTTCGACACGCTGCACTCGTACAGCAACACGTTCCAGATGCCGTTCGTCACGCCCTGGTTCCCGGAGAAGGTCCTGACGCCGTCGTCCGGCTTTCTCGACTTTGCCATCAGCATGCGGCCGGACTACTACCAGGCCATCATCGACACCGTGCGGTACTACGGCTGGGATCGGATCATCTACATGTACGACTCGCACGACGGTAAGTCCCATTGGGTTTCCGCGCGGATGCCACGGGGCTATTTGAACGTTCCTATACACTACACTAAAGAGATACACGCGGTGAGACTGTTAGGGTGTGCCTCGATGAAATGGAACATGCAGCGGTCTCAGTTGTTGAAAACGGATTTCATCGAACATCATTTATAATCTTGTTTGGCAACTCACTAAATCGCCGGCGCCGGTGGTGTAGTGGTAAACGTGACTGCTTTCTAACACCCCAATGGGTCTGGGTTCAATCCCAGCCGAGGTCGGTGGGATTTTTCTGAGGCATAAAAATCTCTGGTCACGTCTTCCTTCGGAAGGGAAGTAAAGCCGTTGGACCCGGCCCATGTGTGTTGTGAATGGGTGCGATATCCTACGCAGGTGTGGAAGCTGCCTTCCTGCACATTCGATTGCCGTCAATGGATGGCAATCGATGTCCGTCGGTGATTGGCACTAGATTGCGGAACAGAGACCGACGTTAAATAAAGTAAAGAACTCACTAAATAGGTAAGCCGCCTTCAATCTGATTGATCCCCCTTGTTCGCTGCGCAAATCTTTGTCTTGTTCCAGTCGGGTCGTTATCCGACATTGTTACGATGTAGCCAGCCCACCGTTGTCGCCCAATTTTCGCATTCGTTCTAAAAATGTTCACCAAACAAACCCGCTGCAATACTACTTAATGATTTATTTCTTTTCTCAGTTAAATCCAATCTTTCAAAATCGGTTTAAAATTTTTAGAAGTGAGACCAAATCAGAGACGATTCAGGAAATTCCTAATTGAGGTGATATTTTCCAAAACAGACTCAAAACTGAGTCGAATAAGTTATCAACATTTTTCTAACTGAGCCTACACCTTTTTTTATGTTATTCAATCCTTTTTAAAGTTGTCAAGACTTTTCTGAAGTGAGCCAACATATCCCGAACCTAAAGAATTGGTTTCGCATTTTCCGGAGTGAGGCCACTTTAGCTGATTTAATATCATTCTTAAATGAATCCAAGGTTTCTTGCATTAATTATACTTTTTTCGAACTGAATCCAAACTTTTCAGGACGAGTTTGACATTTTCCTAAGTGAGCCCCAGATTTTTGTTAACTGCTTTGGCATTTGTCAAGGACACAATCTTTTTTGACATTCCTAAAAGTGTAGAGAGTTTTCCGAAGTGAACCGACACTTTTTTTAGCTTAAATTATCAAACGGAGTCCAACCTTTTCTGAAGTGGTTCAATACCTTCCTTAAGGAGTCCAAACTTTTCTGCTGAGTGATTGAATTATGTTTAATTTTAGTCTGAACTTTCCTGAAGTGATTTTACTAACTTTTAACATAGATTTCGCTCCCTTAGACCCCCTTTCTTGTTCTTGTGAGATTCATATTCTTTGAAAATTAAGCTGAGATTTTGAAAAACCTTTGGGTGTTCATACCTGATGGTAGATTTTTTTCTAAGCAAGCACAATTGTTGAGAAAACTGGGTTTACATCCACAAACGTACTTATTCTTAAAGAAATTTGGGTTTCTTGATCAGCCAAGTTGAATTTTGGTTCCGTCCTTTGAAAAACTGGCTTGGATTTTATAGTATAGACCTTTGTGAGTTCATACGTGATGGTAGATGTTATTGAAGCCAGGTTGGATTTCGGTTCTATCGTTTGAAATTTGTGCTTTGGTTTTATAAAATGGAACTTGCAGAATCCGTACGTGAAAGACCAACCTAGCTAAAATTCACAAAAGTAGGTATTTTCATAGAGATTTGATTTTTATGTTTTGTCGAACTGAATTTTGGCTCCTATCTTTGATTTTATAGAACAGAACTTGCTGAATCCATACGTCAGAGTTGAATTTCTCAATTTTTGAGCAAACCGAGTTTAAATTCACAAAAGTACGTATTTTCATAGAAATTTTGATGTTCTGTTTTGCCAAGTTGAATTTCGACTCCGATATTTGAAAAATAGACTCGGATTTTATAGAATGGACCATGCTGACTCGATACGTCAGGGTTCAATTTTTGAATTTTTGTAAAAACCGAGTTCAAAAATACGTTTTTTTGATGGAAGTTCGGGTTTCCTGTTCAGACAAGCTGGATTTTGGCTTCGTTCTTTGAAAAATAGGCTTACATTTTATAGGTTGGACCTTGCTGAATCCATACGTGATGGTAAATTTTTTGAAGCATACACAATTAAAAAAAAACTGGCTCTAAATCCTCAAAAGTACGAATTTTCATAGAAATTTGTGTTTCCTGTCCAGCCAAATTGAATTTCGGGACCTTCCTTTGAAAAAATTCGAGAATTTCATAGAATTGCTGAATCCATACAAATTTTCATACAAATTTGGTTTTCCGGTTCTGCCAAATTGCATTTCGGCTCATATCTTTGAAAAATAAGCTTGTCGCAGTGCAGATTTGAACCCCTTTGGATACGGTTGTGTTTTATGTTTGTTCCCTGTTTTGTGCGTGCGTTCGCTTTCATAGTTTTCAGCTACATTAGCCGGATTAGCGCTGGCACCGCCTTCCGGACGGTTATACGTGTGTGATTGGTGGTTTTCTCGCTCTCCGAGAAGTTTTAGAATCGAGAAAGAATACATGATTCATCATAAAACCGCAAAAAATGTTATCTTCCATTTAATTCCACTTAATTTATTTTAGTATCCATGACAGATACGTATTTCGACTACAATGTGCAGTCTTCATCAGTGTCATTCCTACTAAAGAACTTATCAAAACCTACCCCTAAGGGGGTGCTCATCCCCTAGGTAATAATGTCAAGATCACAGGTCTCTTGACATTTTACACGTTCATTTTGCAGTTGGGTGTTCGTGCATTCCCGGTTGATTTTCAGTGGATATTCACAAAATTGCCCACCAATTCATTTTTTTTTTTGTTTACCGTTCGACGACGACAGGTGTGCTTTCGCGAGAGTGACGTTTATTGGATCTGTTTCTTTGTACGGCTGTGTTTATTGTAACCAGCGGTTGTAAGTGTGCCTGCGAATCGCATTGCCTCCTGGGAGGCCGGTTCAACGTGTTAGAATGTCACGCTTTCATCGTGTAGTCCTACACAGTTCGAAAAATAGTGTAAATTTCTGTTCAGTATGATGCACATAACTGGAGCGTCACATATCATATAAGTTTACATTATATATCATGTTAAGTTCTAAGACATTTCATGCAATGTAGCAAATATTGTATACAAAAACCCATTGTTGTTAACAACATTTTTTACAAGTTTGTCGGTTGCGTGAAATGAAATACAAGTTTACGTGAATGAATGTTTACATCACTATTAAAATTAAGATTTTTTATCTGTGTATCGAAAGTCTTTCAGAGACGATAGTTTTTGTTTAACTGCAAAAGGATGTAAATCATCCTCTAATCTATGGGAGCTCTTTGAAATCGCCGTGAAGTATGGATTCCTTTTCATCATATCGGGTGAAATTAAGCTGATATTAAGCTGATATTAAATAAAGTATCATATCATTATATGCTGGGTATGGGACGGTCCAACCAGGGCACCCGATTGAAGCGATTTAGATGGGGAGAGTGGAATTGCCAACTTCCTATCGTTAACAGGTCATGAATTCAAGGCGAGCTCTTCTTCCCCACTCATTGGGACATCCCCTCGTGCGATGGCTTGTACATTATAGGGTTGTAGGATTTTATTGACGCCCTCCGTTTTTGGCCCTTCATACAATGGTAAATTGAATACAATAAGGTGTTATACTTGATCAAGTCGTACGAGGTGGACAGTTCACTGTCTAATGGTTGTGCCTGCAACAATGAGTGGTTTCCTTTACATACATACATATCTTTGAAAAATAAGCTTGTATTTTATTGAATGGACCTTGCTGAATCTAAACGTGCAGGTTGAACCGGGTTTGTAATTCGAAAAGTATATTTTTAGATATTTGGGTTTCATTTTCTGCGAAGTTGGATTTTGATACCGTCCTTTGAAAGTTATGCTTGGATTTTATAGAATGAACCTTTCTGAATTCAGGTTTAAATTGATAAATTACGTATTTTGGCTAAAATATGGTTTTTATGTTCAGCCAAGATGGACCTTGGCTCTTTTCTCAGAATATTAGGCTTGGATTTTGTTGAATAGACTTTCCTGAATCCCCAACAGACAATCGCCTATTGAAGAAATGACTTCTTGGCGATTTTATTCAACTGCATGCTTAATAATGCTTGCACTATTTTTAATAATAATTTTAGTTCAGGATTTTTTCTCACAAATATGGAGAATCTATTCATCCACAACATTGAACTACTTAGTGTTGTCTGAGGTGTTTCGAGAAGCACTTTGACTTACATATGTTGTAGCCCAACAAACATTGACAGTTGATAAGAGCGTGTTCAGGCAAAACTGAGCTCCTTCAGCTAAGTAATGGCTTATTCAGCTTTTAATCAGCTCAAATTGTTTGTTGGGATTCGAACCATGTACCTTCCGATCAACAGCCGCTTGCCTTGCCATCTGAGCTGTCCTAGAATACATCATATGGAAAGCTCAATAATCAATAAAAGCATGCTTGAAACTGAATACCTATCAGCATTCTTGATAGCAATTCTACAGCTATATCACCGACGAACCGACGTGACAGCTCATAGAAGCCACATTGAAATTCTTGCCCAAGACACCATATTAAAAATACGTTAAACACTACCGCCATCTACTCATCCGATCGCGTCATATCGTGAGCAAGGACACGAACAAACGGTACATTTATATTGACTTGGTTTGTGTCTCACCTCGTTTGATAGATCTGATCGCCCGTTTGATAGATCGAATCACTCATTTGACAAATCGACCTGCGGACAAACGAAATGCTCCAGTGGCATATCGGTTCGTTGGTGGCTTTATCTCCTTCAAGGTCCAGTGGGAATGATAAATTCGTTCGTCGTTGTTTTACATTAGACCAATTCTACCAATTCATCGCTCCAATTTCCAAAGAAGGGATGCCACGTTGTTTTTTTTTTTAAACTAGATCAGTGAATTCATTGTCGTGAGTGACGTGA